AACATAATTTCTCAAATACACAACCAAAGCAAGAAGACTTGTAAAAACCTAAATTCAGACAAAATAAAACTAAAAATAACTTGATAATTACTCAAAAAAAGGAAAAAAAAAACTAAAATCAACAAAAAAACAAACTAAAAGATAATCGACACAAAGTAACCTAAAATTAATGAGCTAAAATCAGAACAAATTAAACGAAAAGCAAAACGAAAATCAAGCAAAAACCGCAACAAAATCAAGCAAAAATCGCAACAAAACCACAACATAATTTCTCAAATACACAACCAAAACAAGAACACTTAGTAAGACCAAAATTCAGGAAAAATAAAACTAAAATTAACTAGATAATCACTCAAGAAAACGAAAATAAAACTAAAACATAATCGACACATTGCATGTTAAAATTAATGAGCTAAAATCAGAACAAATTAAACGAACATCAAAATGAAAATAAAACAATGAATGTAACCTAAAATTAATTGAAAAACAGCAGATGTATAAACAATAAACTCACATTAACGAAGAATTGATGAAGATTGAAGAACTTGTGATGAAAATTCAGAGAGAAACACAGTAGAATACCGGAAAACTTGAAGGAGGAGAGAGAAAATTGAGCGAAAAAGAAGAAGGAGGAGAGAGAAAAAACGCAGGAAATAAATTTGAATAAATTTGTTTTGTTTTGTTCGTTTTACCGGGTTGTATTATGACCGTTGGATGTAGTTGATCCAACGGTTGTAATATGTCCTCACATAAAATAGGGTTCTCACATAAGGGGGGTGGTCTCATATGATCCTATATATATATATATATATATGTATATATGTATATATATGTATATATATATGTACATATATGTATATACATATATATACATATACATATACACATATATATACACATATATACATATATATATACATATATATACATATATATATATGTAAATATTTCGGTAATTAAATCATGAATTCAATTTTATCTTGAATTAGGTGCAAGAAGTATAAGTTTCTAATGGTGGTAAATCCAAATAAAATCGGTAAATTAGGTAAATTAGCAGGACAATTACCGACGAATTTGTGATGATAACTTCCGTCGAAAAAGGTAGGTAGCGACTGAAAAAAATTCTGTCGGAAAATGGCGATGGAAATATTCTGTCGAAAACCTTCTCATCTTCCGACGGAATTTTCCGTCGGTAGGAGAGAGGTTTCCGACGGAACTTTTTTCGTAGGAAATTTGCGACGGATTCTTAAATCAATTCAAACACAGCTCCGACAGAATAATATCCGTCGGAACATCCTCTTCCAACGGAAAATCCCTTGGAAAAGTCGAATTTCCTACAAAAAGTTTCGCGACAGAACATTCCAATTGAATTTCGTCGAAAAGTTGATTTCCGACGGAATTTTTAATGATTCTGACGGATTTTTTCTGTCGAAATTAAGCTGTTTTCTTGTAGTGTTTACATGTCGTGGCCTGATTGGTCCACCTTGGACCTCTCAATAGGTGACACGTGGCGGACTCTGGCTGGTCCACGTGGATGACACGTGGCAGAGTACAATTGGTCCACGTGGCGGGGTTAAAATCCCCTAATCACATAACATCTGACCATCTCATACTCTCATAGTTAAATATTTATTAGTATAAAGGGATGAGAAACATAAGATTATTATATTTTTGTATATCCTTTACTGGTTTACCCCTAAGGCTTAAGTCACTAATTAGTAATTAGTAATTACTTTATTATACTAACAAGTTAATAAGAAAGAGTAACTTTTAACTTGAGCCTAATAAATCAAATACTGAAATGCTATTAGTATATTACCGAGTAGGATAGTCTAGTACGCTGTTAATCTGTTATGCAACTATGCTAAATTGACAATTGCTCATATAGTCATATTAGTCAATCACTCATGTAGTCATATCTAATTAAGTAATTTGTATTTATGTACTAATCTACTAGTCAATTCTATCATTTATAAGTTTACACGATTACAAGTGTATTGCTTACAGGCACAACTAAACTGATATAAATATAATCATATAACAAATTTGTAGTACTTCTAACTCTCTAAGATATAACATATTTATATTATTATACGGCCTTCGATTTTTTATTAATCGCAACGCTAGACATTTACACGCTAATCGATTCACATTTTATAATTTAAATAACTTAATAAGTTAATGTGTGTGTTAAAAAAAAATATAAAAGCTGATATTATGAAGGTATATATCGTTTTATCGGGATTCGAGAAATGTAATTAATTTATTTTTTTTGAAGCCATGTAATTAATTAATTGTATAAAAGTTTGTTTAATGTTATTAAAATAAAATTATAAATTTTGATTTTTACAAAATGGAAAGTTGATTTCATTTTTTTTTTTTGTTGACAATTTCGTCAAAATATGAATGGTGGGAAATTTCCCTTCAAAAACCAAAAGGCAAAACAAATTTTAGATTTAGAATTTAGATATTTTGATTGTTAAATAATTAAATAAACATTTGGTTCATATATTATGCAAAAGAAAAAAGAAAAAAACGTGAAACGTGAAATTAAATTAGCTAACACTGCCAATTAGGTTAGGTCCTCTCAATCTCTCATCATTCTCTCTCCTCTTCATTCAGCCGTTTTCTTCCACAGCCTTCACTCATTCTTCGGTTCTTCTTCTTCATCCTCAAATTGAAGCGTTGAATTCTCCATTCTCATCTTAACTCTCAAGTTCTCAACTCTCAAGCTCAACGTCTCAGACTCTCAGCCTTCAATAGCTCAAAGGTAAATTTTAGTTAATTGTTTTTGTTTTCGTTTCGGTTTTTTTCGATCTCAAGTTCTCCATTCTCGATTTTTTTTTTCGATCTCCAGTTCTCCATCTTCAAATCTTCCTCTCCTTCAAGCCGTCAAAGCTCAAAGGTAATTTTCTGTTAATTTTTTTTGTTTTCATTTCGGTTTTTTGTTGCTGATTTGTTGTTTGACGGGATTTGCATGTCTTTATTTTTTGATTTTTAGTTCTGATTTATATTGTTGTTCATATAATTTCTGATTTATACTGTTGTTCATGTAATTTTTAATTTATATTGCTCTTCTTGTTCATTTAATTTCTGATTTTTAGGTTGTTTCTCGGCTTAGAACATTAGAATCATGAGTATATGTATAATTTTTTGGCATTGTATAATTTGTGTGTTCCATTTTCTGGCCTAGACTTTTCTAGTATGTTGATGATGATGATGAGGATGGCCCATCAAGTCGGCCATCGATGGAGATTGATTCTTATTTGTGTACTCCTCGGAAACCAACTTATGAAGGGCAGAATTATGATGTTATCAAGTATTGGGAATCTCAAATTAGTGTGTACCGCTACCCCATATTAGCTGTTATGGCTAGGGATGTTTTGGCCATTCCCATTACATCGGTAGCCTCTGAATCTTTTTTTAGCATGGGTGGTCGTATTTTAAACAAGTATAGGAGTGCTTTGCCTATAAATGTTGAGGTGTTGGTTACCACACAAAATTGGTTACGTGGTTATGATTGTGATACTGAAGAAGACGTCCTTGAAATTGGTAAAGAAGTGATAGATGAAAGTTTTGCATCTAATTAGGAAGGTATATGAATGTTGTATTGTAGTGATGCTTAATTTATATTGTGTTGCTTCATTACTTTTTTTTTTTTTTTATTGAGATAAATGTTGCTTCATTTCTTACACTAATGCTTAATTATATTTCAAGAGATGGCTAGGAGAAACCCAGGAGAGGGCGTGGCAGCAAGGGGAGAGGCCTCTCCGAGCTAGGTACAAAACTCCCAAACATTCTGGAGATGCCTTGGAGATGGTCTGGAGAGGCCTCTCCAGACATGGCTGCGGGCGCGACCTTCAGCGGAGAGGGCGCGGCGATTTTAGATTATGAGTTTTAATCTTAGTTTTGAAATCTTGTTTTCCTAGATTGTAATAGTGTTTATTTGATAATGATTCATTGACATTGCAACTAGTAACTTCTAGTAATCGTTTCTGAAGACTCTGTGACATCATTTGCTTCTACTTGCAGCATAATTTGACATTGCCTCTACCTGAACACATAGTTTTTCCTTTAAGATAACTTCTGCTACTTAGCCACAATAGACAAGAGCCATAATAAATATAGTTCATATAACTATTAATTAATCTAGAGTCCTCTAGTTGCAGGTATGTTTTGCCTATGTCATTCTTAACTCGACCTGTTTTAGAAATGAGATTTAGTTGATGATACCCCAGTAACCCCACTAATGATGTTTTATGTTTTCGTTTAGATTAATCTCTGTTTTGTTTGTTACTCTTGTAGACTATTATCTGTCTCAAATACCAGTTTCAGATTGTATGATACTTGAATGCATACGAAAACTAGTGGAGGGATATATTCGGTTCATAAACGATTCGGTTTATAAGCGGTTCGGTTTATAATCAGTTCGGTTTATAAACGGTTCGGTGCAAACAGGCTGCAGTTTGTTAACGGTTCGGTGTAAACGGTTTTTATGCCAGTTCAAATGGTTTCGGGTTAGAAACGGTTCGATTCATTTTCGGTTTGGTTTCCTTTCAGTTTGGTTATGATTTGGTTCGGTTCTTAAACGGTTTAACGTTACTCGGATCGGTTCGGTTTCGGGTTTACTAAAATGCGGTTCGGGTCAGTTTTCGGTTTCAAAAAATCGGTTTTTAATCGGATCGGTTTGAACCAGTTCGGTTCGGTTTTTGACAGTGCTACAGCAATGAACAAATTTTGGATTTTTTTTAATAGAGCCAATTTTAATTAAATGGCAATTAAAATAATAGATTGTTGTCAAGTCAACTCAATGAATGTGGATTTGACAAATGTACTACCATGGCAATGCATAAAATTGTTAGTTCGATTTATTTAGAGCATATGAAACACTACGAAACCTCAACAAACTATGAAATAGTAGGAAAGATTTACACTACAAACAACCGTACGTAACAACATATAGTGATTACGTATGGAGTATTAATTAATGTAAACAACTGTAACAGTATATATTTTATAGGAAGCATTTTGTTAATGTAATACATAGTTAGACAAACTGCATGCATAAGTTTTTATCTACTTAATTAGCTTTTCTACTCAGTCATGAAGTAAACTCACAAATAAAGTAGCCTATGACAGAAGATGAACTAGGGAACTTTATTACTAGTGCACTATTAGTAACACGAGTTCTAAAATCGTGAAATAGTCAGTTGCAATAAATAAATACACGTATGTTATGTAGCTCAATTAACATACATGCATATCATGCATGCATGTTAATTAAATTATTCATGAGGTTGGGTAAGGAAATAATGGTCAGCAGAAAGCATATCAGGATCATGCTTTTCAGCTCCATGAATGTTCCTTAGCCAATACTGTGATTGTCCTAGCGAAGCCGAGTTTTTGGGGACATCATTCAGCACCCAATCTTGTCCTTCAGGGAAGTATATACCGGTACGTGGATGTGGTACCCATTCTTTGTTCACCTTCTCATTGTCACCCTTATTGCTAGACATTATTCCTCCTACGTCTTCTTTAAGGTAATATTCCTCGAATCTTTCGATGTTGGTTTGTTCCCTTTTGAGGCCTTGGTTGTATTCTTCTGCCTGTACGGCAGCAAATCGGCTCATGTAGTGGTGTTGATGACCAGCCTTCCTAGCTTCCCTGCATAGAATAATGAAAATTTTATAATGTATACGGAAAATATTGTACATATATTATGTACAATTTTATATGAATACTGAGTGCTAGAAACTAGAGCATGTTTAATTTGTATAGTGTATAAGAAAGTAATTGTGACCAAGGTTTGATCCTCACACCCCCACCCGCCGTGATAAGAGGGGCATTCACGTATCTTACCGTGTAAAAAAAAAAAAAATTTAAATAAAATCTTTTTATTCAAATGTAAAGCAAAAAAATTAAAAAAAAAAAAAAAACCTAGTAGGATTTTGAGAACAGTTAATTATAAAAATCCACATTATAAGTGTCATGCCATTGACTTTGTTTTTTACAAAAAAATAAAATTGGTAGATTATGTGTAAAGTGCGATGCAACGATTTTCTTTTACTAACACGTATATATGCATGAAAAGCCAACCACAACATCGCCCCCTCTTAATAGGCTTGGAATTGATAGACAAGCCATATGCAATGACGTAAATTATGGAAAAGTTAATTGTATACTTATATGCAAAACTATACACCATAATGCATAGCTACATTATTGTAAAAAAAAAGTAACAAATAGTTCGTAGTATAAACAAGAAATTATCAAATCACTCCAATAGATCGATTATTGATCTGACTATAATTAATTTCGAAGTTTATAGAAAGGATTCAAAATGGTTTATATACTCACCTTAGTTGTGTGATGTTCATCAGTGCGACTGAGCTTGGTAGTCCTTGACATATCTCGAACAACAAAAGCGACAAAGATGTAATTATCTTCTAAACAAACTCGATGTATGTTATGCTTATATAGAGAGAAAATTGATATTTTTTTTTGGTGAAGAGAGAAAATTGATGTTAAGTGACCGAAAAACTCTCTAAGCTCTTCTTGATCAACATACTTAAATTTATAGCACTACAATAATGTGCCAAGAATATATTCTCTTGCATTCATTAACTGGTGAAGGTTATAGAAAAAAGGTATCTAAATACTTTGTCATATGTATTTTGCCTCGTTTATTATGATGTGAATACTATATACACTAAAGCAAATTTAATTAGTGGTATAAAAGCTCTTGATATTAATGTTATATGCTGTTTTAAGTTAAAAACTGGACAAAAACCATGGGCCAGTACTTTTGATTATCTTCATTGACAAAATAAATAAAGTAAAGTATTTTGTCACTGAATAATCCGTCACGTATGGTTGATTTAAGGCCATTTTAAGTTATGTAAAATTTGCATATAACTAAATTGTGTAAGATGGTCTTACTATGTTGATGTACAACAAAATATTTCATCCATCACTAAATTTATAACAAAACATAATATTCTAAGTGGCCAAAATTAGAAATGTTATTTGATCTATATTTTATATTACCTCGTTATATATTATGTACACCTTTTGGGTATTATTTGTTAGATACAAAAAAAAAATCAAAAGTTGTACATAATATGTAACGGAAGTAGTATGTCAATTAATTAAGGGCATAGGTAGTATTACAAAATTAAGTAATGGAAATCACCAAATTAAAAATGTTCAATTTATATATTTAAAATTTTTTTTAGAAAAAAAAATTTAGAAAAAAATTACATAAAATAGTTAAAGTTGTGATTACTGATAAGTATATACTACGGTATTTTTTTTTTTAACAAAAGTTGTAATAAGTATATAATAAAATTATAATTCAAATAGAAAAGATTAAGAATTACTCCCACCATTGATGTTTGTTGTTTTTTGTTTTTACACCATATTTCCCATTAGGAACTTTTAAAAGTTCTTCCTTTTAGGAATCTTTAATACCTTTTTTTTTATCAAAATAATCTGATCTCATTTTAATTCTAAATTCCAATTATTTATGTATATAATGCACAATTATTTACTTGTTTCCCTATCCCAAAGTGTATTAAAAACACAATTATTTGTGTTTTTCACTATCACAAAGTATACGTATTGAACTATTAACTGTAGTTTTAACTTAATATTTTAAGTGACTAATTTTTAATTATAATTATAAAAAAAAAAATCTTGCCCTTATTTAATATAATGTTTTCATTAGAATATAGTACTCCCTGTGTTTCACAAAAACGAAAGAAAATGGAGGTAGGGTTAATAAAAATCGTCAATAACAATTGATGTTGTCATCAACTCTCAAATTAATACTCGTAATTGGATTAAGTTGTATACTCCTTACATCATAACCGAATATTAAAACACCTTGGGTAATAGGATGAGCTAGAGCATCTTTTATAAAGTTAACTTTTTTATTCCTCAAATTTATATATAGCACTTATTACGTACAATCTTCTGATCATTACTAGTAAAGACGTATTGTTTTGAGAGATTATGATCAAATATTGGCAGATTTGACGAGACAAATGTGTCTAGTAAAGCATGAGGTTGATGGTGCATGAGAGTTCCTCGTTTCATTTACACAGCTTTGCATAATTTAAGCTGGATTTCTTCTTTATAATTGGAAATTAGCTTGACCTGAAAGTTTTCAGTGACCACTAAAGTGTTTTTTTATTTTAATTTATTTATTTATTTATTTTTGACATAAGAAGGTATAAATGTTTATGGATTATAATAAGAGCACATATAAAAGTGTAATTTTGATCATTTGTTTGGAAAAAGAATTTGTTTGGGGTCCAAATAACTTATATTTGGGCCTAGTCCACAATGAAAATAATTATAGCCCAAAAGGCAAGGTTCAACCCTCTTTTACATATTTGCCAAATCAGGTATAGCAAGACCCAATGAAATGGCAGCCCATTTGATTCCTCAAGCCCAATCCATCTAATTGGAGCAAGGTATAAAAGCTTTCATTCTTGTACAATTATATGGATAGACATTAAATGCCTCAAGCAACAAACTCTCCTGCATAGTTTTTCTCTCATTATCTTGCATCCGTATTGACTTCGGCATCGGAGGGGCCTTCCTCGGGACAACCCCCGGGGCCAGTTTACGTGTGTTTGGCTGTGCAGGAAATCCTCAATTCGGTCATCACTCGAATTGGGCTTCATCTCCACTCATCCGAAGGGCCTGCTGAAGGTCCATTGTTTTCTGACCGAAACAATTTGGCGCCGTCTGTGGGGATACTTACAAAAATTCAGCCAAAAATCTCATACTAATCTTAGCCACCGCAAAAAATGACTAAGAGTGCAAAGAGCTCTAAAAAAAGCTAGGAAGATGGGCTTTATAACGGTAAGGGCCGGTAGAACACCTTCACCGTCGCCAGAACCGACCGCTTCCAACTCCCCGAGGGGAGAAAATATGCGTGAAGGATCTCCTTCCCAACGGGATTACCAAAATGGGAATTCTCCGAGGGATAGCAAGGCTCATAAGCGTGATCCTTCGCCTAGCATGCGTTCGACTCCTCCTACCGGTCCGTCAACCGAGGAGGTCATGAAGGCCATGGCTGTGTGCATGGACTTTATGAATGCTTTGGGAGGACACTTCCTGTCGATGAAAAAATCACCCTCTCCCCCTCCTAGATCACATGATCGGAAGAGGAAAAGTGGAACCGAGGGAGAGAGGCAGGCTCTGTCCTCGAAAGGGGAGGGCAGCCGAAGGGCTGGGCATCCAGGTGGTTCCGGGCAGGATCAGAGGAGGGGCTCCGGCCACTTCGAAAACTCCGAGGATCATCATGACAGCCACAATGTTTCTCGCCGAAGCGTTCATGAGCGCTTAGGTGGCAAAGAAGGAGGGGTGCATAGTTGCCTCACCTATCCAAAAGGGCCTCAGGCCTCTATGTCACGCGAGGGGACACCCCCTGCATCCACCTCTCTGAGAGGGAGAAGCAGGGTTCCTTCGGCGCGGCAGAAGGGAAATGCCATAATGGTTCCAACCAGTTCCCCATTCCAAAGGTGGATACTGGAGGAACACGTGCCGACGGTTAAAATTCCGGCACACATTACATATGACGGTACTTCGGATCCGAAGAATCACATAGCCTCCTACGAGGGGCATATGTACCTTAACCCCAGGTCCGAAGCTACCTGGTGCAAATACTTCCCTACAACCCTCAAAGGTGTTGCCCAATCATGGATCACCAAAGGGATGAAGGAAGGCTCGATAACAGGCTGGAGCGATCTAGCCAATAAGTTCAAGAGCAAGTTTTCCACGGCTAACCGCCGAGAGAAAACTACTGCGGAGCTCATGGGCCTGCAGCAAGCGGAGGACGAAAGTCTCCGAGACTATTTGACTCGTTTCAGCAACGAGTCGTCCAGAATCACAAGTCTGGATCAAAGCCTGGCCGTATTCGCACTACGGAATGGCTTGCAAGCTGGCAAATTTCTGGATTTCATAGTCATGCAACCCCCGCAGACCTTGGAAGAAGCCCTCGATGCTTCGGATAAATTCATCCGAACCGAGGAATGGAACAAGGCAAAGCTGCAATCTCAGTCAGGGCTTGCGAATCCAAGACAGCAAGCTGAAGTTCCAGGGTCAAGGAAAGGGAAGGCAAAAGCCTCAGAACCTCCCTTGACCGAAGAGCCGAAGAAGGATAAGGCTCCCTATCTGGGAAAATTTGAATCTTACACTCCTCTCACCTTACCACGTACTAAGATCTTTAGTGCGACGAGGGAAGAGGGAAGATTCAAAAAGTCGAAGCCACCTCCTTCTTGGCATCAAAAGAAAGGGAAGGACCATTGGTGCGAGTTCCATTAATCTCGTGGATACCGCACCGAGGACTGCCTTCAGCTGAAGGACCAGATCGAAGAGCTGGTTCAAAAAGGATATTTAAAGAAATATGTCGCGGAACGTCGCGAAGAAAAGAAAGCTGAGAAAGATTCTCGGCAAGAGCTGGACTATCACCGGAAAAGGGACAGACCTCCCGAAGGAGGGAATCATGACATCCTGACTATTTCCGGTGGAATATCTCGGAACGCACTAAAGCGCCATCTGAGGGGTCTCACTCATCAGATTCATCATGCCGAGTTCCAGAAACCGCAGTCTCCGGTGCCGAACATGATGTTCACATCCGAAGACTGCAGGGGGGTGGTGTATCCCCATGATGACCCCCTGGTGATCATGACAAGCATCGCGAACCACAACGTCTATCGGACACTGGTAGACGGTGGAAGCGGGACGAATATACTTTTCCGAAAGGCATTCGACCAGCTGAAGTTGGAGAGCAGGCATTTGACTCTAGTTCCTTATCCGGTCACTGGATTCAACGGCTCTTCTTCATATCCAGATGGGAAAATTCTTCTTCCCGTCAGCCTCGGCCAAGACCGGGCAAGACGAAGCATCATGGCCGAATTCTTGGTCATTGATGCCCCATCAATATACAACGTCATTATGGGGAGACCCCTCATCCATGATGTTCAAGGAGTTGTCTCGAGATACCATCAAGCAATGATCTATGTTTCAGACGAAGGACGCTCCGAAAAAATATTGGGCAGCCAAAGAGAGGCCCGAGAATGTAACTTCCTCAAGCCATCCAAGAGTCGCCGAAGCGACAAGGATGATGAGGAAGAAAAAGAGAAAGAAAAGGAGCGAGGTACTAAAAGGCTGAAGGGCCTAAGTGCTTCGGCTCAGGGGTCCCCGAAAAAGAAAGCATCTTTGGGGACTGGGAAAGCAAGCTCTTCGGCTGGACCGAAAGATTCGGACAAAGAACAGCCGAAGAAAGGAAAGTCTGCTGATATTGACAGTAGACCCGAACCAGAAGAGTCTGGCTCCAAAGAAATGGAGTCAGATGAGCAAACTGAGTCAATACAGTTGACCGAGGGAGATACTGAAAAATGTGTCAGCATCGGACAAGGGCTCGATCCGAGCCTCCGGGTTGAATTAATCCAATTTCTTCGGGACAATAGAGATGTGTTCGCATTCTCAGTAGCTGACATGCCGGGAATCGATCCGAACCTCATCTCGCACAAGCTTAAGGTCGACCCCACATGTCGGCCAGTTAAGAAAAAGAAGCGGAACTACTCCGCTCAGAAGAACCAAGACATTGCAGCCGAATTCAAAAAACTTCTGGACGCGGGATTTATTAAGCCCTGCCAATACCCCGAATGGCTGGCGAATGTAGAAATGGTTCAGAAAGCTAATGGCACCTGGAGAATGTGCGTTGACTTCACGGATCTGAATAGGGCCTGTCCGAAGGACTTCTATCCCTTGCCGAGAATCGATCAGCCGGTTGACTCGACGAGTGGTCATGCTCTGCTCAGCTTCATGGACGCATTTTCTAGGTACCATCAGATTTTCATGCACCCCGATAACAGAGCAAAAACGGCATTTGTTACAAGCGCCGGGGTGTATAACTATAAAATGATGCCCTTCGGCCTCAAGAATGCCGGGGCTACATATCAGAGGCTGGTGGACCGTGTTTGCCGAGCAAAAAGGTCGTAACATGGAAGTCTATGTTTACG